GTGGGTTTGAACCGCCAGCCTTCTGGTTAACAGTCAAGTGCCTTAAGCACTACGCTACCAGAGCTCCATACGTTGACTTAGGTAAAGTGAATTCTTATAACAAAGACATTCACCGTAAAAATTAAAGATGTTTAAAAAAATGATACATTGACTTAGGTAAAGTGAATTCTTACAACATTTTTAAACGTCTTTAATTTTTATGGTGAATGTCTCATAATTTAGTCATGGTTCCATTGCTGGGTATTGGTAGTTTTCTAAATGAAATTAGAAAAATCGATAAGTTAAAGAGAATTATGTTTTTCTTACATTTCAGCCATGTAAATATGACAATTTGATTTTTTTATCCAACTATTCTAATACTTCAGACATTTTATGTGACCTTATATATGTGCTTTTGTTATATACTTTATTGTTAGTCTTGGTTATCTCAACCCTTTAATAACCTTTTTATGGAAATGTAAATTTACTTGTGGAGTGAAATGCACTGCCAATACATATGAAATATACAGTCTTTTCTTTTTCCTTCCTAACAGAACCCTGATTTCTTTCTTCAGGACAGCATTGTGCCTAGGTACAGAAATGTATTTTCCAGGCTCCTTTGCCACTATGAGAGGACAGGTGACATTGTACTACCCAATAAGGTTAAGTCACTGTTAAAAAAGGCATATGCATTTGGCAGACACCTTTTGTCCTTTATGTCCTCCCTTTATCTTACCTGGGAACTGGACAGGAAACTGGAGGAGGAAACTATGGGGTGACAAACATAATGATGGTTGTTACACACTAAGGACATCTGAGTGTGAAGAAAGGAGCTTGGATCCTTGATACCTTGTGGGGGTATCTGTATCAGATCTGGACTACTTACTTCCAGGCTTGTTAGGTTAGGAAAAACAAAACAAAACACTCAAGTTTGTTGAAACCACCTTTTAGTTAGGGCTCTGGTGGCGTAGTGCCTAAAGCATTTGACTGCTACCCAGAAGGATGGCAGTTCAAACACTCCAGCCACTCCTTGGGAGGAAGGTTGGGCAATCTGCTTCTGTAGTGATAACTGCCACGGAAACCCAAGGAGGGGTTGCTATGAGTTGGACCCAACTCCATGGCAGTAATTTTTTTTTTTTTTTCTGTTACATGTAGCTGAATATAGTTTCTAATACAGATGGTTTCTGTAAGAGATATTTGGAGGAGGCTGTCTTAAACCTAATTTGAAAATTGCTTTTATATTGTTTTCATTTAATTTTATAATTTGTTGAGAACCTTTGAGCCCTGGAAATATAGATGTTACACATTTTTAAATTGTCAAGCATGTTTTGAAAGATATTTATTGCAATTCTGACATCCACATAATAAGCAGAACATTTTTAAGTTTTCTATTTTGGAATAATTTCAAATTTCAAGAAAAACTTCAATGTTAATAGAAAGAACTTCCATAACTTTTATTTTTTCTGAGCGATTTGAGAAGTTGCATTAATCGTGCCTCTTTATCACTAAGTATTTCAGTGTGTATTTCCCTAGAATAAAGATAATCTCATATAACTTTAGTGTAATTATCAATTAGAGATCATTTAATACTAATGTAATATCTGTTAAGCAGTACATACTCAGAGTTCTCCAGTTGTACTAATAATATCCTACAAAGCATATTTTCACCTTTTTTAGTGTCGTATCTAATCCAGTTTGACAGATTATATACTTGGTTACCATGTGTTTTTAATCTTTAATGACATTTCCCATTTTGAAGATAACAGAATAGTTATTTTGTAAAATGTTCCTTTTGCCTTGTCTTCCTCAAGATTAGATTCAGGTTGTGCATTTTTTGTTGGAATACAACTGAAGTGATCCTGAGTACATTATATCATAATAGGGAGCGTATAATGTCATTTTGTCCCCTGACTGTTAATACTAACTTTGACCACTTGGTTATGGTGGTGTCTGCCAGATTTTTCAGAATACCTAAATACCTAAACACCTAAAGAATAGATTTGATGCATTGAACACCAGTGACAAAAACCAGAGGAATTATGGGATGACATCAAGAACATCATCCATGAAGAAAGCAAAAGGTCGTTAAAAAGACAGGAAAGTAAGAAAAGATCACAATGGATGTCAGAAGAGACTCTGAAACTTGCCCTTGAACAGAGAGTAGCTAAAGCAAATGGAAGAAATGACAAGATAAAAGAGCTGAACAAATTTCAAAGAGGAGCTCGAGAAGACAAAATCAATTATTATAAAGAAATGTGCAAAGACCTGGAGTTAGAAAACCAAAAGGGAAGAACATGCTTGCTTTTTTTCAAGCTAAACTGAAGAAAAAATTCAAGCCTTGAATTGCAGTATTGAAAGATTCTTTGGCCAAAATTTTGAATGATGCAGGCAACATCCAAAGAAGTTAGAAGGAATACACAGTCACTGTCCAAAAAGAATTAGTTGATATTCATCCATTTCAGCAGGTGGCGTATGATCAAGAACCAATGGTATTGAAGGAAGAAGTGAAAGCTGCACTGAAGGAATTGGCAAAGACCAAGGCTCCAGGAATTGATGGAATACCCATTGAGACGTTTCAACAAACAGATGCTGCGCTGGAGGCACTTAGTCGTCTGTGCCAAGAAATTTGGAAGATAGCTTCCTGGCCAGCTGACTGGAAGAGATTCATATTTGTAGCCATTCCAAAGAAAGGTTATCCCACAGAATTAGAAATTACTGTACAATATTAATATCACACACAAGTAAAATCTTGCTGAAGATAATTCAGAAGCAGTTGTGGCAGTAAATTGACAGGGAACTTCCAGAAGTGCAAGCTGGATTCAGAAGAGAACGTGGAATGAGGGATATAATTGCTGATGTCAGATGCATCTTGGCTCAAAGCAAAGAATAACAGAAAGATGTTTACTTGTGTTTTATTGACTATACAAAAGCATTAGAATATGTGGATCATAATAAATTACTGATAACATTGAGAAGAATGGGAATTCCAGAACCCTTGATTGTGCTCATGAGGAACCTGTACATAGACCAGGAGGCTGTCATTTGAACAGAACAAGGGGATACTGCCTGATTTAAAATTGGGAAGGCAGTGCATTAAGGTTGTATCCTTTCACCATACTTATTCAATCTGTATGCTAAACAAATAATCAGAGAAGCTGGACTGTATGAAGAAGACTGTGGTTTCAGGATTGAAGGAAGACTCATTAACAACCCGCAATATGCAGATGACACAACTTTGCTTACTGAAAGTGAGTATGACTTGAAGCACTAACTAATGAGGATTAAAGACTTCAGTCTGCAGTATGGATTACATCTCAACATAAAGAAAATGAAATTCCTCACAACTGGACCAATAAACAGTATCACAATAAATGGAGAAAAGATTGAAGTTGTTAAAGATTTCATATTACTTGGTTCGACAATCAACACCAAATGGAAGCAGCAGTCACAACATAAGATGACATATCGCACTGGTCAAATCTGCTGCAAAAGACCTCCTTTCAAGTGCTAAAGAGCAAAGATGTCTCCTTGAAGACTAGTGTGCGCCTAACCCAAACCGTGGTATTTTCATTTGCCTCATATGCATGTGAGAGCTGGACGGTGAACTAGGAAGACCAAAGAAGGGTTGATGTTTTTGAGTTGTGTTGTTGGCAAAGAATACTGAAAGTACCATGGACTGCCAGAAGAACAAACGTGTTTGTCCTAGAAGAAGTGCAGCTGGACTGCTCCTCGGAAACGAGAATGGCCAGACTTTGTCTCACCTACTTTTGTCCTGTTGTCAGAAGGGACCATTTTCTGGAGAAGGATATTATGTTTCGTAAAGTAGAGGATCGATGAAAAAGGGGAAGGCCCTCAATGAGATGGATTGACACAGTGGCTGCAATGATGGGCTCAAGTATAGTAAGGATTGTGAGGCTGGCACAGAACTGGGCAGTGTTTTGTTCTGTTGTACGTGGGGTTGCTATGAGTTGGAGCTGACTTGATGGCACCTAATAACAAAACAACAAAGTTATTCCCCCCTCCCCTTTTTAAAATTCTATCTAGGGATGGAATTTGAGACTATGTAAAATGTTGTTTCTAATCAGACTTTTTCCAAATAGTTTTAGCATCCATTGAAGATTCTTTACTGTATTAATTATTACTAAGATGAGTATAAAACATCTTTAAGAAAGATTCCAACAGGTACTAACTTATTCTAGTACTAGGATTTTTTTCCATATCATATCCAATGAGCTTTCTTTATTTCATGGTACTATCTTAAAGTTTTTGGGAACTTAAGAAATAGATGTGGGGAGGAACGTGATTCTTAATTAAGGAGGTTCAAGGAAAAGCTTGATGGTAGTAGAATCCTATCCCTCTATTTCTTTTTCTCTGCAGAGTTCTATCCAATAGAGAATAAATAGAATTGAAGCAAGGGAAGGCAAATGATCAATTCTGTTTAGGAATATTTTATACCACTTAGATTAGAGAATGGGTTAGTACTCTTACTCCTTGAGTAGATCTTGGCATCCCCATGATGGAATATACCTACTCAAAGTATGGCCTGCCAAAACACAAGTTTTTTCCAAGTATCCCAGGTGCCTGCATGCTGGTCTGCCCTAGGTCTCAGAAGAGATTACTGGAGCTGCCTGGAGTTCAGTCAGTGGTCCCTAAACCATTTGTTTAAACATTGAACAGGTATCAGTGGAGATCTGTTTTTTCAGTTCTTCTCAGTCTTAATCAGTCCTTTTCTTGTTAGGAGGCATAAATCAGGGTGGAGAGTAGAGCCCAAAATTCTAATTCCAGTAAGACTTCTTCTAATACGGAAGTTCCCTTTTGGAAATGTGAGAATGAAATAAAAGATTCCCACTTCAGGTCCATTCTTACTAAGAGTGATGTTTGTTAAGTCGGTTTAAAATTTTGTGTATTGTTTTCTTTTTACTTGAATTTTAATGTAATTTTTTTTTAAACAAAAGATTAATTTTTTTCTTATTATATATTTTCAGAGTTCATAGTGTAATGATTTTGTTTCTTTTCTCTAGCACCAGCAGACGTTTTTGAATCAACTGAGAGAAATTACTGGGATTAATGACACCCAGATACTACAGCAAGCTCTGAAGGTATGGCTTTTGTCTTAAGGCATACAGTTTGTGGTTTGCCTACTGTATTTGAAAATTGTGTTTTCTATTTATTCTGTGTGGCTATAGAGATGTAGGAATGACCTTTTATACAGTTAAGAGCTTCATTTAATTTTGAGCACATTAGTTTTCAGCAACCTAATGTTCCAGGATATCTTGTAGTGGCAGATAACCTCTACATATGAAACACTTTTAATGCAAGATGTTGGGATGAGAATCTGAATGTCAACTGGTGGTTTTACTTAAGAGCCATACCTTGGGGAAGTGTTGGTGTGTGGGGTGGGGTACAGTGGGAGGTGGAAGGAGAAAAGAAGAAAATTAATAGATGGTCAAAAGGTTACATTTTTTCCGTTCCAATAGAAGAAACAGAGATTAGATTCCATTAAACTAATTCTACATTAAATTAAGAACCTTCAATATTGAAATGTTCAATATATACAATAAATAAAGTATATCATTTTGCTTGTATCTTAAAGTGCACCTCATATCTACACAGAAACATCCAGATTGCATGGATATATATCAAAAAAGATCAAGGGAGTAACATATCTTCAAGAAATATAACTCTATATTAAGCTTACATGTATATTACTACTAAAGACTTAATATACAAATAACCTTAAGACAGAGTTTGGTTTTCTTTTTTTTAAAAAAAATTTGCTATTGTAGGCATACTTTTGGCTCCAGTCTTCTGGTACTTGCTTTTTAAGGCAAAGCTAACCATGTAAATCCTGATTCTGAGCCAAGGGTTATTTCGTTTGTTTCTAGAGATGATTTATCTTTTCGATGGTGACAGTGAGCTCATCATAATGATATAGCTAGCATATATTTAGCACTTATTCTAAGTACTGTATGTGGGCTAACTTATCCTCATGGTAGCCCTATGAGATAGGCATTATTTCCCTCCCCTCTTTAAAGATGAAGAAACAGGTTAAAGGAACTCTTTCAGTTACACAGATAGTATGTTGAGGAGTTTGGGATAGAAACCAAGCAGTCTGATCGCAGAGTTATAATTATTGCTGTTTTTTACTGGAAGCTTTGTTTCACCTTATTCCTTCCCCATCAAGAAACTGATGAAATAGTACTGTTTAAAGCATTAATGTGGGGTGTATGAAACCACTTAAGTATTTTGAGAAGAAACAAAAGTGTTCCTCAGTATTTATGATTATCAAATTAGATGAAAGCCCTTTTCTTTCTTTATTCTGATTAATATTGTTAAAATAGAAGTCACTCCACTTCTATTTTCTGAAAGTCCCATTCCCATTTTATGTCACTGAGTGTGAGAGTACAGCCTACCACCTTGTCAGGACAAATTTTGGGGGCACACCTTTTTGTTTTTTTAATTTAGGAAAATATAGCTCAAATCAGTCTTTGTCCACATTGTCTTATAGGGTATTATTTGAACCTAGTATTTATTTTTTTCCTTTTGTTTCAGTTTCAGCTGTGGGGAAACCATTATGTTAAAACCTTAAATTTCACCCACTGTACATTTGTAAGGTGTTAATGAGTTGATGCTCTCATTAATATACTGATAAGGAGTCTACTCTTGGCAGCTATAATGTCAAATACTAATTTTAGCACTTTTGTATTATCTTGAGAACATTTGTTTAGCCCTCTAAAATAAATGACCTTCCATTTACCTCTTATATTCAATAACTACTTCTCATATTCAATTTATTATTATTGTATGAGATGTCATTTGAAAACCATATGACAAATGCTTAATAAATGTTAGCCATTGTTACTGTAAATTATTTTAACATGAGTTTACTTATTTAGGTATAGAACCAGTGTGTCCATATTTTGAATGAGTTATTTAATAACCTTACTGTGGTTGTGACAGATAATATACTTTTAAGCAATGATACTTTTCAAACATCACTCTTATTTTTCTGTCCTCACTGGCTACTAGAATTGGAATTAGAGTAAGTTGAAAACTTCATACTTAGAGTTGCTCAGGCCTCACATCTTGGAATCATCCTTGACCCTTCTCCCACATTTAATATGATAGCAAATAATTCTGTATGCTTTGCTTCTACTCTTCCTCTCCTGTTGTCTATTCTCAACATACAGCCAGAGTGATCCTTTTATAATATGAATCATAACATGTGATTCTTGTTCAAAACCCTTCATTGGCTTCTTGTTAATATGTTACGTGTATATTGAAGTTCCTAGGGTCTACAAAACCAGACATGTTGTGGCTCTTTTAGAAAGATCACTTCATTATTAATATCTGTATTTTCTATATCATTTCAATTAGCAGCCTTACAGCTATGTTTTACATATTGTGAATTGTACAGGGAATGTACATCTATATATGGTCAAATTCCTTCTCTTTGTTTTTGCTGTTTTAGAAGCTCTTAGTTACTCTATCATCAGATTTCTTTTATATGAACTTAGAATAATTTTGTCCAGATATGCTTTGGATAAGAACTATATAAAATTTCTCTGTTTAATTTGGGTAAAATTGTCATCTTGATAGTCTTTAGTATTCCTGTTTATGAACTCTGTATCTGTATATTCCTATATATGAACTCTGTGCTATTCTCAAGCTTTGGTATAGTTTTGCTGTTTTCTTCCTGAGTTCTTGACATTTGCTTATTAAATTTGCCATGTATGTATCCAACATGGGAATTTCTTTTATTATCCTTATTTACAAAAGTACTATTTTAAATATTAATTATATGCTTAGTTCCAGAAAACATTTTTTAGTTTATTCATTTGTTTAAAAATATCAGTTTGTGACTGATTTTTGTTAAGCAGATATGAAAACAATGAAAAACTAACAAATTACTTACAGAATTGACTCTTACATTAGTTAAGTAATTTTAATTCCTAGAAAAAGGAATATTAGTATAGTTTGTATGACTTTACACTACAAAATTACAATTATATAGAATAATTTCAAATCTGAAAGTTATTTTTTGCTGTTAACTGTTTGTTATCTTGGAGAAAATTGCAGAAGTCATGTGAGAACATACAGTTATTCCAAAATATTTGATGTTCCTGTCTTGATATTTGAAGGATAGTAATGGAAACTTGGAATTAGCAGTGGCTTTTCTTACTGCAAAGAATGCTAAGACCCCTCAGCAGGAGGAAACAACTTACTACCAAACAGCGCTTCCTGGAAATGATCGATACATCAGTGTGGGAAGCCAAGCAGATACAAGTAAGTTTGCTTCTTCTAAATATTTTAGTAGAATGTAAAGATTACATTTCCTTTGTAGTTGTTGTTGTTGTGCTGTTGAGTCGGCCCCGACTCATAGTGACCCCTCCTTGGGTTTCCGAGGCAGTATCACTACGGAAGTAGGATTGCCCAACTTTCCTTCGGAGGAGTGGCTGGTGGGTTTGAACTGCCAGCCTTCTGGTGAGCAGTCAAGTGCCATAGGCACTATGCTACCAGAGCTCCCAAATGTGATAATTTTGATTAATAAGCAGAAGTGGAAGTCAAAATCTTTTTTTTTTCAGTGTAATTAAAAGGAGCTTATGTTTTTATCAGCTACAGTGTATTTTTTTCCCCAGATTAGAAATATTTAATTTATATATCCTTCCATAAAGCATTGTTGTTGTTGTTGTTGTTTTGTGCCATCGAGTCGGCCCCGACTCATAGCGACCCCTCCTTGGGTTTCCGAGGCAGTATCAATACGAAAGTAGGATTGCCCAACCTTCCTTCCGAGGAGTGGCTGGTGGGTTTGAACCGCCAGCCGTCTGGTTAGCAGGCAAATGACTTAGCCACTATGCTACCAGAGCTCCCTATAAACCATAGTAGTCATATATTATATAGTCATATAGTACTCGTTGCTTTGAAATATGAAATAATTAAAAGTCTTGTTTATAAAATGAAACAAATTTCTAGAATTTCAGTGCACACAATCATTTGTTTTGTAGATTTTAAGTAGAAGTAGAGGCCTTAGTACTATTTTGAGTTCTATTTTATTTAGTACATATAGTTTCTAATTACTGACAGGTTTACCATTTAAGATTTTCCCTCCCTCTTCCCCACAAAATAAATAGACTTTGGGAAAAGTTTTATCATGTAACTAGTTTCCCTTGCCCTCAATAAAATGAATTTGGAAAATACATTTTTAAAAAGGTATGTGAAAAATTTTACATCGGACCTTAATTTTTCTCCGCAATTTGTATAACTTGTGCTTATATATCGCTCAGAGTTTTTCAAAATATGTTGTTACCTTTATATCTCATTATGATTTAATAACTACTGTATAAAAATGTAGCACTAGTACCAATATCAGTTGCTGTCCGACTCATGGTGACCCCATGTGGGTCAGAATAGAACTCTGTTCCTTATAAAAATGTATTATTTATTTTTATGTGTTATATATTTAGGAAGTTTGTAACTGAAGTGCATTTGAAGAGAATTTCAGTTTTTGGTTATAGACCTTTTAAAATTAGGCAACTAGGAGAAAAAGAGCCCATTCACGTAGATATTTGCAGCTATTGATTGGCATTAAGTACTGCTTAATGTTTATCTATTGATAAACTTACTTCCAATTTTAGGGTGATCTTAATAATTCTGCTTCACAAATGATCTTCTGTCATCTGAAGCTGCAAAACACCTTTCTCACAGATGCTAGGTGATAAAAAAATAAAAAAAACCACCAAACTCACTACCAATGAGTAGGATCCGACTCATAGCAACCCCTCCTTGGGTTTCTGAGGCTGTATCTCTACAGAAGGAGATTGCCCAGTCTTCCTTCTGAGGAGTGGCTGGTGAGTTTGAACCACCAGCCTTCTGGTTAGCAATCAAATACCTTAGGTACTACGTCACCAGAGCTGCCATACTAGGTGACAGAAGATGTTTGAAATATTTAAGACAGTCCCAGTTGATTATATCCAAGTTCAGGGCATATTGTGACTTGGCCTCTATCTTTGTTTTTAGCTTCCTTTTCCACTGTTTTTCTCTTCTCTTTTTACACTCTGATTAAACAAACAAACAAAAAGACTTGATGTTCTTATACACCCAATACTGTTTTATAAAAATTGCTGTTCCTTCTATCTAGAATTCCCTTCTGGCTTTTTTTCCTTTAACCTAATTTCTTTTGATATTGTAAAGCTCTGATCAGGAGCTGCTTGCACTAAAATATTTTCCCTAAGCATCTAGGTTGGACCAAGTGCTTCTACAGCACCCAGAACATACTTCTGTCTTAACATGTATCATGTTATTTTGTAGTTAGTTGCTTGTGTCTTTCTTCCCTAACAAACTGGAAACTTAACAGGGCAAGGGATCATCAACATTCCTACAACTATACCTAAAAGAGCTTGGCACATCACAGGTGCTCAAAAAGAATTTGTTGGATTATTTTTGACTACCCAGAAAAGCTGGTTCAAAACCAGTAGAAGGGAAAGAGGTTAAGAAGCTTATTGCAAAAATTTGGAAGAAAAAGAGAAGTGGTATAAAGAGTGAAGAAATTAGTGTTCAGGGTTCTGAGATTGGGTTGGGGGTGGGTGGGTAGAAACTAGCTAGGTAGAAAAAAGAAAAAATGATTTAATGGAATGCAACAGTGAAGGAAACAGGAAATTTACTAAACTTGTTCAGTGTTGTAGTTCAAAGACTAAGATTTTAGAAAGATAGATGATTCACTTTGTGATATGAGATTGTATGTGTGGATGCATGGGAAAATGAGACTTTGAAAATGTCATATAGAAAAAAGGTATTTCATTTTCTGTGCAGAAGTGAATAAGTATTGCTAAGCGAAATAAGATCTGTTCATGTCTTTTGATAAAGGACTAGTGACAGTGTTACAGAGGACAAGAAGAGAAATTTGAATGTGTGTCCTTAGGAAGAAGGCAACCTGCTTTAGAAGGCTTGTGTTACATTTGCTGATAATTAAGGAAAATAAAATTGTCTGTATATACCTGGAAGTATGTATCTCTTGAAAAATATCTACTGAGTAATTTTATTTTACTTTCTGATTTCATCTTAACAGACTGGCCATCATCAAATTGAGCAAATTCCTTAGTGTTGTGGTTTCTTTATGTGTAAAACATGCTATCCTCCTAATCAGGATGCACTATTTATCTGATTGAGAAAGTGTGTCCATAAAATTGACTTGAGATTATTGAGAAACAATCTAGAAGTTTAATGTGGCAATTGTGTTAATAAGACTAGTATCAAATTGGAAAAAAATACCTGATGAGGTAAAAATCATACTTTTCCATGTAACATATTTGTACCATGTTATATAAAGTTTTAGGAAGTAGAACTGCTTTTGGGAAACAGTCTTGATTCAGTATTTACATTAAATAGTGTTATAATACAGTGTTACATGATTTAACTGAAAAAGTAAAATGTCATGCGTTCAGTAAGTTAAAAAATACTCTTTTTAAATTCCTATTAAATTGTTACTGAGACGAAATTAAGTCTTTTATGTTTTTTTAATTCTTGGTAGGAATGACAAAATTTATGTATTAAAATGCAGGTTTCTAGAAAAAGCTATGTAATTCTTGAATGGATATAGAGTAATAGAATGTTCAGAGTGTGAGGAAGTTCTCAAGGAACTATTGCACATGTACAAATCCTTTTTTAGCATTTTGTCAATTTTCTGTGAAATGCATTGTCTTAAAAGTTGATCCTACTTACCTTAATTCTTTTAAATATGGTAGAGATGTTTATTTGGTCAAAAGTTTTTTTCTTCTTTTGTTTAAATGTGAAATTTCTCTTAAGCATCAACAAAGCCTTGCTAACTTTAAGTGTGTCATGTACTGGTTGCAGTACTGGCAGAAGACCTATATTTTGAAACAGAAGTCTTTTATTTAGTACAAATTACATTTGCTTGTTTGTTGAAATGATCTGATGAATAACTGTTAACTGTTTATAACTGAGAATTTCTTTTGAAATGAATAAAATGCTTGCTTTTTGGTTACTAGAAAAATTTAGTTTTGAAATCATTATTCCCTAGAAATCATATTTGAGGGTTGTGGGGAAATTTTCATTTATGCCTACCCTGGCACATTGTAGGATAAAAAAAATTATGTAATATTATTTGAAGAGTACTTATATTTGTGAAATTTCATAAAATATTTAAGAAGTAATTATATTTGTAACAGTTAATAGGATAATGATACGCTTTAGTGCATTTTTACATTTTACTTTTGAAGAGAAAAAGGAAATAGTTCAAGGAAAATTTATAGTTTACAAAGTAAGGAATTTAGAAGTAGTGAACCTGGTGTCTCTGTTTTATGTTGGAAATATTCCATAATATAACACTCTGTAGAATTCTTGGAAAAGCCCAAGTCATTTGTAGTATAACAAAACCCAAAACCAAACCCACTGCCATCTAGTCGATTCCTACTCATAGTGATCCCCATTGGGTTCCTGCAGCAGTAAATCTTTACAGAAGTAGGTGGCTCTGTCTTCCTTCCGTGGAGTGGCTGGTGGGTTTGAACCGCCAGCCTTCTGGTTAGCAGTGAAATGCCTTAGGCACTGCACCACCAGAATTCCTTATTAGTAGTATAATTAGCAAAAATTCCAGGTGCAATTTTCATTTCTTGACTCTCCTGTCTAGATGAGATATCTTGTATGGGCAAATGAGTGCCTCCCAATTCCAGTTAAAGTTGGGCATAAAGTTGTTTTGGGAATGAGTGAAAAATACTAATGTAAATGGGTCTGTAACACAATTCAAGGTGACACATAGGTGTATTTAATCATGAGAGTAGAGAGTCTGTAAAGCTTTTGTGTCATAGAAAACTCTGTCATAGACATGAATGTCACCAGAGCTCATTGACAGTACAAGGATTTACCCAATTTGAAATCTAATAGTAATATTCTTTCTTTCATGACCATTAAATTCTTTTGAACTTTCTTAAAACAGGAAAAAAAAAGTATATGCCTACCAGAGCAAGATGTGCTACAATTGAGCAATCAAAGTATGGATCAAAAGATAAGAGGGATTTGGGTAGGTAATTTTAACACAGAAAGTAATGCCACATATTGACTTAAGTTTTAGAGAAATGGGTATAACACACTGGAATGAGTATTAACTGATAAACTCTACACAAATTTATCATCAGTATACTTTTCTTTTTTGCCAAAACAAACTTGAATTATTTGGAAGGATTTCATAGAAAGTGAGAAAATGTTGAGGTTCTGTGCTAGAACTCTGGTTAGTGTGGTTTTATTGCTTGGCTGGACTAATAGTGATTTATACC